TGCCTTTCAGTTACTACTAGGAACAATTTCCACTCCTCCAGAATGTGGAAAATGCACTGAGTGAAGAGTGCACTGGGTGTAAATTTAGCAAAATTTCTATTACTGCGGTTTCCTTTATACACACATATATTTTGAAGTGGAGGTAAATTGTAGTATAATTGACTCATGTTTATATAGATTCATTCTAAATTTAACATTATTTTGGAGAGGCTTAATGGTCAGTCATAAAGTCATATTGTGCTAGTTGTAGTTGGAATAGAGTTAATTTTCCTCACAGTAGCTATTATGAGGCTGTGTTTTGGATTGGTGCTGAGGAGAAAATTGATAACCACTAATGGTTTTAGTTGTTGCTAAGGAATATTTATACCAAGCCAAGGACTTTTTCAGTTTCTGATACTGCTCCTGTGCTCCCATCTTCTTCCCTACAAGAAGAGGTTTCTCTACAAGAAGAAGCTGAGAGGGGACACAGCCCAGAGTCCTGACCTAAACTGAGCAAAGGGGCATTTCATGCCATCAAATGTCATGCTCAGTATATAAGCTGTGGGAGTGGGCTGGCAGGGGAAATCACTGCTCAGGGACTGGTTGAGTTGCAGTTGGTTGGTGGTGAGCAGCTGCATCATTTTGTTTTCCTTCCTTTTTTCCTTTTTTGTTTTATCACGTATTATTATCATTAGTAGCAGTAGTATTTCCATTTAATATTAGTATTTGTATTATTAGTATAATTATTTTATTTCACTTACTTTCAATTATTAAACTGTTCTTAACACACAAGTTCTCTTCATCTTTTTCCTCCAATTCTACCCCCATCATACCTGTGGGGGTAAGTGAGCAAGCAGCTGTGTGGTACTTAGTTGCTTATAGGGGCTAAACCATGACACATCTATATGCAATGTGTATTTAATATCACCCAGTAAGGGTCAGGAATCTTCCACGAAATGGAATGTTCGTATTCTTCTTGGAAGAATTATGATAATTTCCTCAACGAAGAGCATACATTTGTTGGACACTTGAAATACACATTAATACTTATTGAAACTCCTTTGAGAATTTGAAAGCTATTTTCCTATTAAAATTAATCAAAAGTTGTCATCCCAGGTTCCTAAAAATCTTGTAAATTCTCAATCCACATGATCAGTGAAAAGCATTAGAGTAAATGAAAGAAAGATCATAGAAAGGGCATATGAATTTTTTGTCTTGTTCTTCATACTTCTAGAACTATCACAGAGGTTTTTTCATTCAGTATATTTAATCACAAGTTAAAAGGAAACAAGTAGGAACATGACAGGTTCAAAACTTCAGGAAATCAAAATACAAAAATTTATTGATTTTTCAAGACTTAAGGATTTTGAATCATGACAATGCTGGTCAAGAATGTTGACAGATATGGAAATAAATTACTCTTTCTTCATTTGTGCTACCTTAACACGTGGAAAAATCCATGGGTAAAACACTCAGTACAGTACTATTGCTCTGACTCTGACAATATCAAGAATTGCAGCCACTTTGCAACCACTGTAATACCGGTGACCAAAACTACATGTAAAGTACAGGTATTAATAATGGGGGATGAAAGAAAAGTAAACTTTGCTCTCTGTCCTGTCCTGAATCAACTTGTGCCCTACTCATACCCTTAAATTCTTAAAACATGGAAGTGACCATTTAAGATACATGAATTTGTCACATAATTCAAATTGTAGTTTTCCATGAGTAAATGACCCTTTTTTTACCTAAGTGACTAACTACTGGTGCACAAAAATAACTTTTCTGGATGTTTTTAAAAGGTGATATTGCAGGGATTAATCATGCAGCCTGTACTTGGACAGACTTCCTTCTAAAGTTAACGGCACTTGAGCCTAACTGCAGAATGTGGGAACATGCCCAAGAAGAGCATTCTATGCTCAGAAAGCATTTGTCTTTATATTCTGCCATTAGTCCAAATACAAAGTCTGGCACTGCATTTCATGACACGTGCTGCTCCACTAGTTCTGTCTAGAAACAAGCTCTTTTCTGTGTAAAATATTTTTACTCTTTCAAGTCAGTATAACAAACAACACGAGAAAAAATTATTTTCTCTGAAAACTTCTTGAATTGAAAATGCTATAAATTTACAAATTCTGACATACGCCCTTTAAAACTTGTGCATCTAGTGTTTTTATTTTCATTATACATTACAAGTTATATCTGTAATGTTTAAAAATGTTCTATTCCAGCAAAAATATGGCTTTTAACCAAATAAAAAATGTAAAGCCAACTTGCTCTGAGATCCATCTGTTTTTCATTTTCTTATAATCTATAATCAGGAAATCCATTCATACATGACATATAATTTTTGCGCTTTCAAGTGGATAGTGGAATGCGATGTTCTGCATACAGTCACATCTAAATTGATAATTGTCCAGGCAGAGTGTAATTTTAAAGTACAGGATGAAGGAAGGTTTAATTTGTATATTAGAAGTCTTATGCATTTTTTTGCCTCTGAATGTAAATGAGGCCATTCTCTTCGGTGGATTTATCTGAAGGTGGGACAGCTGCCTCGGAGCAGGCCACAGCTTTCTGAGTAAAGTGGATACAGTTTAAAGAGCTGGTTTAAATGCAGACTCTTCTTAACTGTAAACCGCATGCATGCATTCATCATTGATTTTCAAATGATGGGTTTCTGTATCATTGGTTTAAGTCCACAGTCTTACATTCCTGAATCCATATTATACCAAAGAATAACAATTTGGTGGCTGGAAAGAGGAATGGTTATTATATGGCTCCAAAATGCTAGCTGGCATAATATGCCATGAACAGCAGAAATCTACTGGTAAAGAGAAGATTGCAGTAGTTCCCAAAAAAAATTCCATCTTCTAAAAATACAATCATAAGAAATGTTATCACTGTTCAAAATATTTTACATCAGTAGGTAAATAATATAAAGGTCAGGCAAAAGTTTCTGAAGAATAAAGTTTGATGCGGGTGCATTCTTCCTTTTAATTTTAATAGAAAATTATATTAAGTAAATCCGTAGAAAATGGGAGTTCTTTCTCCTAAGGGCTCTCTGTTCTCTGAAAATCACAACCATAGAAACAAACATATAGATTACAGTACATGCTGTTTTCTTAAGTATCTTAGGTTGCATGTTGTAGAACTAAGAAAAAAAAATTACTCTGCTTCTTCAAGCAGCTTCAGGTAGACTCCATGAACAAATGCTTGTCATACAGCAGATTTCACAAGGCTGTTTGACTTCCTGCTTGTAAAATAGCTCCTGTATGAAACCAGCACCAGAGAAACTCTTCTTTTGCTTCCGTTTCTTCTGTTGATCGCTTCTCCACATCATTGCTGCTTTTCAGTGGTCAGTTTGTCAAAGAACAACTTTTAAACGCACTGTCATTTTCAGAAGAAAATACTGTATGTTCAAAATGCCCCTCCCAGTTTCGCTGCCTCCAGTAACATCTAGCGTTAATGAGGGCATAATATGTAGCAAATCCATGTTGAGAGCAATCGTTCATTTAAAAAAAAAAAGCCTATAGACACAAAATGGAAAATTCTTGGCAGTGTTCTGGTATTTTACCTTCGTAAGTGTAAAATACACCTTTTTCCTTTTCATTAATTCATTTTATCTCCCTAAATGTAAGATATTACTAAGGAAATAAACAAGGTTAATTATGAATACTATTTTAATACAAAATCTCTGGAGTGATCTGAGTGCTTCTAAGTTTTGATCTTATTTCCCTTCTGCAGAGGTTTGTGAGATCATTATAGTAAAAACTATGAGAATAAACAAGCCAGGCCAGAACTATGACAAAAGGTACCTCGCAAATATGGAAGTCAAACACTTCATGATACTTCCTGTGTGTCCTAAACCTCTGTGTTCAGGGTCTATGTCACAGTTTAGGGTCTTCTAGAGCTTGAAGTGGTGTTTTTGTATTTAATAATTTTGGTATTCTAGGTTGTGTGTCGCGGCTTGCGGCTGCGAGCAAAAGATGAGCACAGAACAGAAAGTCTCCCGCAGCATTTGTTTTCTTGCTGTATATCCATGGAAGTCTTCTCTTTCTGTACCTGTTTTCTTGCTATTCCCTCTCTGTGGCTGGCAGTTTCTGTATCCCTCTTGAACGTGTGCAGACGTAATTTCAAAGCTAGACTAAAAGATCATCTCTTTGCCCAGACTTTGCATGGGGAAAAGGTGAAACTAGGCAGATGAAAATAGGAAGGTCTCGTTTCTAGTGGAATGGTAGGTCAGTAACCTTACAGACACACAGTTGCCCCTGCTATGTGGTGAGAGAAGGAAACCCTTTTCTGAAAAAGGCAAATAAAGCATTTGCCTGTCGGAATTGCTCCTGGGATATACAGAAAGCAGCAGAGATGAAAATTAAAGATACGGTGGTATTTTCCAAATAAGGTTATGCTCTCGCTCCCATTGACTTCAGTGTTGACAGAATCAGGTCCAAAAAGTGTGGTGAAAGAAAGCCAAAAACATTTGAGAATCTTCCTAGTCCTCCCCCTGCCTTTTCTGGAAATTATAGCCTGGCTATACTCATCCTTTGTTTAAAAACAAAACAAAATCATGACCTGGAAAGGGCTGAGTCAGGCAAGGCAGAATCCTCTGTAGTTGTCTAAAAAACACAGCAAAGCTTTGACATTTTCCTAAGCTGTAAGATTGTCTGATTTCCTGATTCTCTTGTAAGGCAAAAGTTAGATCTTGGCTGCTCCGGGTGCACAGTATATTGTGCTATGTACCATGGTGCTGTAGACAGAGTCCTATAATCCAGTTAATTTTCAGCACATCACTGAGATGTCGGCTGCCATGACAGAAAGCATTTTAAGAGCAGTTACTCCAAATATGGAATGTGTTGTATTTTCCTAAAAAGATATATTGCATGACACAGGTATTTACCATAATTTTTTTAATTCAGCATTTTTAGTGTTCTGTCTTAAGAAAGACATCGGAGTTTATAATCCCTCTCTCTCTTTTTTCTTTTATTTCTTCCTTTTCTTTTTTTTTTTTTTTACCTAAACAGGAAATGGATATGGCAACCCCCGTAACTCACCAGGTCTGCTGGTCTCACCTGGCAACTTGAACAAGAATATGCAAGCAAAATCTCCGCCTCCAATGAATTTGGGAATGAACAACCGTAAACCAGATCTCCGTGTGCTTATTCCACCTGGCAGCAAGAATACAATGCCATCAGTGGTAATGCATTTTCAAAGCTTTTTTTTTTACCTCCTTCACTTAAGAGAGAGATAGGAATTTCAAGGCCTGCTCAAGCAACTAACATGAGCAGAATGACATTCCACATTCTGGCTTGTTTGGTCCTTCTGTCTAACCTTAAGGCTTGACATTGAGCTGAGGATGTAGGAAGAGCCTGTTTGATTGCTTTTATGAAGTCATATTTACTTCCTCCCTTTTTTCTATTGAGTTGCAAAATAGGAACTGTGTCCTGCACAGCCTAAACTTCTGCACTTTCCTACTAGCTGGAAGAGCCCTTCCTGGATTTGTTATAAAGGCTGAATTTAACTCTGAATATTCCTGACCCACTATGTTTCTCTCAAATATTTAGCCACACAGACTCTCAGCAGATGGCAGATGAACTACAGACAAATTAATTTGAACTCTATCACTCTGAGCTCCAAATTTTATAGAGACAAGAGGTACTACATAGATAGAGCAGCATAAAAAGGAGCATGAAACTGCCATATCTCCTGCCAGGATTAACAAGATTTAGGCAGGCTATTATGCTAGAGGGTTGAATCGTGAAAGTGTCATGTGCGTATCTTGTAGTTCCCTTCTGAAAGTCGGCTAGTGGTTGCAAGTAAATCTTTCATGAGTGACTTAACATTAAAAGTGAGCTTAATTTAAAAAGGGTCTTGATGGTAAATTTAAGTGACACTATAAACTCATTTTTCTATTATGTAACAGACACTATTAAAACAACTTCCAAGTTGCCTACTTTACCTTGGCGCATAATATATTAACTTTGAACATCGAAGTAAAACCCCCATAAATATGATGCTGCCTTCTGAGAGGATACGTAACTAATAGTCTCCTACAGGGCAATGCTCAAAGTCGACCAAGGCAGTGACAAGCTCTCTGCATCAAATGATTTATTCCAAGGTCCTTAAAACTGATACTTTCCAAGGGATTCTGTGAATGGTCAGGTCTCCTGAAACCAGGTATAGCAACACAATCTGCAGCCTCTGGGGCTGTAGAAGAAATAATGAATTCTTAGAGAAAGTCTTGTGCTGAAATCTGGATAGATTATCCTCACCGTAGAAACAAACATCCCACTAGAAGGACAAAGAGGGGTTCTATAAAGTGTTACTTTTCCAGTCTGTGCTCAGATAGTGTTTAATTTGCTGCCCCTTTCAGATGAAGCTATTCCCTAGGCTAGAAATCTGCTCCCTGGTAAATATTTATATTCACTGATTTTTAATGCTCCTTTCCCATGCACTCAGTCTGAGGATGTTGATCTGCTTCTGGTAAGTGGTAGTGATGTTCATCTTAATAACGAGGAAAAGAAAATCAGTTTTTTTGTATGATTGATACTTGTGTAGGTGAAGTGTTGGTTGAAAATGCGAAAATTTACCATACCTATTTTGTGAACAAAAAGTTCGTATTAATTTTTGAAATTTAGCAATATGGAAGGCCAGGTGCATTTGTTGCACATATTCCAATTATGCATGCTAGAATAAAGCTTTCTTGTTGCTGGTGATTGGAGAGCATGTAAACTTGTGCCGTCTTCAACGGCACAGCCTTATGACATTTTTTTTGGTGGCTGTGTGATCATTTCCCCCTGCCACTCACAGGATTAGAGGTGTCTAGTGCAATATTTTACAGTGCAACATCTAGTGCCCGGGAGTTAGAGATAAACGTGTCACTGCTCTACTACCTAATGCTCCTGAAGTTTGTTTTATTGCACAAAAACGAAGTAGTCTGAGCACCATCTACTGGTAAGAGTTCGGTGTTCAGCAGTCTCGGGGTGCGCCTCACGTTCAAAGCATTAAATCCAGTAGGACTGGGTTCTGGGTTTTTCTCTTTTGCCTTTTTTCTTCTCTTTTTTTTTTTTTTCTTTTTTTTTTCATCTGAGTGAAAAAGAAAACAATGAGAGTAGAGTTTACGTATTTCATTAGTTTTTCACACAATCTGTTCTTATACCCACAATAAAAGCAATCTTACTTGTTACTAGTTCAGTTACCTAGGAGATAGTGATGTAATGGGTTACTATGGTGACAACTGGTCTCCTGAAGGCTTGTAAATGATAGGGTTGGCAGAGTTCATAAAAGCCACATGTTAAATGATTAATTTATAGAAATTAGTATCAGCCTGTATTCCTCATGCACAAAACACACCCAGAAAGCTAATACAGTTAACTGACTTAAAACTAGTCAATAATATGTTTATTTTACTTACTTTAAAAGAATCAGAGGATAAATAACTCCCAGTCTGCTCAGTCATTGGCTACTCCAGTGGTTTCCGTAGCAACTCCTACTCTACCAGGGCAAGGGATGGGAGGATACCCATCAGCCATCTCAACAACATATGGTACTGGTAAGTATGGGTTCAAGATGTAAAGCTGGGGGGAGGGATCAAGATAAATGTCTATCTCAGTACTAATGAATTAGTTAATGTTCATTGGGAGAAACTGAAAGATTCATAGCTGATATGCTTTTACATTTCATTTACTTATTCTGTATCTTTCATTGGCTTTAATAAAAAATGTAACTTAAAAAACAGTTCTTAATGCTCTTAATACAACAGGTAATTTCATGTACTTGAGTGCACCTTCCTAAAGTCATCGAGGTAATGGGAGCAAGCAGTTTCACTGGCTTCAAAACAGAGCTCAATAACTTTGTGGGCTATCACACAGCTACTCTGGAAAGACTCGAAATGAAGCCTCAAGACATCCTTTCCAGTTCCCTTTGCACATGGCCACTGCGTAGAGCATGCTGGCGTACAGATCCAATGCTCTTCAGAGAAGGCGTGCGTTGTTCAGACACAGGCTGCCTGCTGGGTTCGGCAAGAAAGACCATAACTGAAACATTGCTGTGTTTTTCGAGCCTTTGACTCTGGGAGAATGCAGCTGTAGTTACGGTGGATATACAGGCTGAGAATGCTTTGGATCTCCCAGATCCAAAACAAACCTGCTAAATCACAGAGTAATTATTAGTGCATTATTTGGTCCCAAGTTAATGAGTTGAGGGAAGAGGAAGGTCTACTTTTTCTGCCACAACTTAATGCGATTGGTGTAATTAAAATTAAAAGGCTTATAAAGTGACATGTGAAAATTATGATGCTAGTTATTGTTTAATTGCTTCCTCCTTAATTCTCTTTTAATTATTGTCTTTTCTGTTTTCAAATCTAGAATATTCTCTGAGTAGTGCAGATATATCATCTCTCTCTGGGTTTAATACAGCCAGTGCTCTACATCTTGGTTCTGTGACTGGCTGGCAACAGCAACACCTACATAACATGCCACCGTCTGCCCTCAGTCAATTGGGGTAAGCAGTGTTCTCTTTATTTTATTGTTCTACAGTGACTTCAGTCTCACCAGTAAGCCCAAACCTGAAATACATCAAGATAACACATCAGCACGTATTTACTATGTGTAAGAGCTCCATTTCTCAAACCTGGAACTATGTATTTCAGGAAAAGTTTGCTAGGTAGCTAAAATTAAATATTCTGTGTCCATGATATTTTCTTAGTAGTGCCGTAAGGACTACTGTTCATGTTTTTCTCTTTATTTCTTTAAATAATGTTTTATTTCACTACTAAAGACCGAACTAAACACTTATATTGTGCTGTTGCTGTATTTTGCCATTTATGCTTTTTATTTCCAGTTACTATAGCACAAGCATTTACAGTAAACCTCAAAATTGTCTCAATATTTTTAATCGAGTGACATAATGATTTGACCTGAGATTAAGCTTTAATCTTACATAATAATTACATACCCCCTTGGGCTCAGCTCTGGCATTCAAGTTTTGTTTCTTTGGAAATATTTTCTACAAGCAAGTAAGATGATTAGGCCTAAGAACTGTAGTCCACAAAATTCAGGGTGATTTGCCCAAGTTGAGGACAATAGGTATTTGTGACCTCTAGTGGCTAATTTCAAAGCGTTTGTTCAAGATTGGTGAAGCACGCTGCTAAATCATTTCAGGATTTTTAAAAGCATGAAAATTAATGCAGGAAACTCACATAATGCAGTCTTGAAAAAGCTACCTATTGTCTTACTGAAGTGAACTTTAAGAATATGATTTTCAAAAATCCTGGTACCTGCAGTTTCTATTCAGTAAGACTGTAGGGATTTACCAGCATGCCACACAAAGGTATGGCTAGACATGTTTGAATTTTAAAAGTTTTCATAACAAAAACAGAACCTGCAAGCAACTAAAGTGTATTTATGAGGAGAAATATCTCACATGCCTTCGAAAAGTAAACTTTTTCCTCAGAAAGAGCTGTTGCACTTATGCACTATTTTTCTTGCAAGATGGTTGTTGCCATGATGTGAAACTATTCAATACTATAAATGGGGCTTAAACTTCAAAATTCTCCTAATTTATCTGACCACATTTTATAAAGAGTGTAGTTTCTTTACCATGTACCAGGGGTTTGAGTTTTTAAAGGACAACTATACAAGTGTTTCATAGGAAACATAATATTTTTGAACCTCACTTCTATATAAATAAGCATGTATAGATACTATCTACAGAAAAACATACAACTGAAATAGTTGCTGTTCTAGAAAACAATAGTTTTAATACCTTTCACTTACATTTCTTCTATTTTCTTTCTGAGTTTGCACTGTTTCTGGGGCAACATTCAGACTAATTGTACCACTAAATACATGAAGTCTCAAATAAATTGAAAACTCACATGTTAGATTTCACTGTAACCTTACAATAAACTGATTGTTTTCAGTGGTGTACCAAAGAATGTAATAAGTCTATTTGGTTAACCAAAAAAAGTATAAATTAAATCCTAAACGAATGACATGCCTTTTCAGATATGTCACACATCATCATCTGTTTCTAATTCATATCACAGAATGTCAAAATATAATGGCTGTGGCTGGTGGAATAGATTCTGAGTTGCTACTTTTATTATTATTCTTTCAGTGAATTGTAAACGAATTCAGCTATGAAAGCTGCTTCACTGACAATTCTGGAGAAGTCTTCTATCTGTGCAGAAAATCATACGAATTTTATTTTAGTCACTGAGTTCAATATGCAAAAGCACCTGTGCTAACTTTTGGACTATTTGAAAAACTTGATATTATACAAAACATATTCAGTCCATGTCAACCTGAGCTAGAGTTTGCAGGAAGATTAAAACCATCATAAAAAATTATAGTCATCCCCAAGCATTTGAGAAAATTCATCTAGAAATGGTTTGACAACCCAAATCCTGGTACTGAGTGAGGTTGTGTACTGGAAAGGTTTGGCGATTGTGACATGTTTGTTGATAATGGTAGGCTTTGGAGACCTGTGAGAAAACAGTTACTGGAAGAGACATCCCAGTTCTCCAGCAGGTTTTGTTTTTCACTGAAGCCTAAAGGTGAAAACCAGCTTTGATTCCTCAATGCATGGCAGGAGAATATGGTTAGTAACAGAACAGGATATGATTAGACATATTAGCTTGCTTCCGATAAGTCTCCCCAATTTCAGCGGCACTGTGAGAACCATCTTTAAGATAATTGAGATCTCTACAACCTAAGTCTAACTCTTCATGCTGACTCTGCAATTACCAACCGTACTGGTGCAAGTGGGCTTGAGGCCAAGCACCTGTGGGCATGGGAGCCGTTTGCTTCCCATGTCTGCACAGCTTTTGGCCTCGTGCTGAGTCTGGTTAACAGGATAACAACGTAGACCCCGTTTTGAGATGATTGGGGCATTAAAAAACCGAGTCAGACTCTTCAACGTTTTAGTTTAAAAAGCAAAATAGTATTTTCACAGTCTTTTAATTGGTCTACAGCTGGAAAAAAATACACACAAATTCTATTGGCAATCAATCCTTCCCAAAACTTTGAGATTTTGTCTGAAAATTGCTGTAGTGTTTCTTACAAAGAAGGTTACTCTTTATTTAACATGGAACAAAGAGTTTACTAGAAGTTAATTGTCGCTAACCAGAAGGGAAGTCCATTCCAAACTTTGAAATAAATGATCTAAACTTTATTAGGCACAAGTCCCTTACATGGAAAATGTTCTCTTTCATCCACATTTCCCAGTCTAAGAGAGAATCTTTTCTTCCTTAAGTGTCATCCAGAGGCGAAATTTTGACTTTCCTAAAATATAAGTACAAACATAGAACTGCAGTCACAGTGTTTCATCTGAAGAATCTTTAGTATAGATAATTGTTTACATGAAAGAAATTTCTCCAGGCTTCTACCCACTTGATCAAAAAATTGTCCAAATCCATCCACACTGTGGACCTGTTCTGTGACTCTTACATAGCAAGCTTATTACTTAGCAAGGATTAATTTTGATTAGGCAATAGCCTTAGCTAGATATGGGAAAATACGTTCCATTTTTACTGAAAAATCAAGATGCAAGTGACATTGTGTTTTGTGACTTTGTATCAGTTCTGCCAACTTCCTTGTTTTGAATAAAAGTCATATATATTTCAGATTGAGCCTTTTTCTTATACCACCACTGTAAATAAGATGTTCCAGTGATTCACTTTCCTATTATTCTTTGTTTAGAAATCTGTTTATAAAGTGTAGACCTTAACATGTGAGAGCTCATCAAAATATCTTGACACAGAAATTCTTACTCTGCTTTTACAATGATCAAAAAAATATGAAAACACAACTTTGCTTTTACCTGAAAGCAAAACAGAAGGGAGGGAGGGAAGAAGGTTGCACTGCTAGCAAGTCAGAAATATCCTCTGTTCTCCTAGTTACAGACTAGCACACAACTGAACTTGCATAACTAAATTTTGCCAATGAATTGTTCCTTATATATTTATGAGGAAAAAATATATGAAGTGAGGAAGTAAACTAATTTAGAGAAACAAGTGTGGGCATAAAAGAGAAGGTATGTGAGGCTCGCTCTTCTTCGAATAGACTTTCTCCCTCTGTAAAAAACTATTTGGTGCATGCTCATGTCCTCACTCATCACCTACTCAGACTTGCACTTCTCTCTGTGCCTGCTGAGTTTCCATACCAGCTGGAAATTTGAATAGATGGAGGCACACAGAGAATTGACCTCACTGGCGTCAACAAGAATAAACCATCTTGCAAGCTCATTGCATCCTGACTTGCTTCCCACCTCTTAGACAGCAGAGCTGTGTAGTCGTTCAGTGTTGAACCCAGATGAGAACCAGCATTTCTCCCATGCTGCTGTTTTATTCTAAATAAACATCACATTTTCACTGTACTGGTCTTAGCAGGAACTGCTGCCTAAATTAAAACATTAATTTTCTTCATTGTCCCCATAAAATGGAATGTTTTCATACAATATATGGAAAAAGGTGATTATGTCAACATGAGTGGACTGCATGGCACTTACTGAGTGCTTATAATTACACACCATCCTTTAAAGTAATTTGCTTTATAGTCTCTGTGGATTTTCCATATTCAAAACTTGTCTGTTTCTCAGTGAACTTAGTGTAGGTTTCAAATTATGAAAATAGGGCATGCCTGGACCAAAATTACATAATTATAGGAAGCAACAGTGTAAAATATACACTGATACATATAGAAACAAACAGCTGTTTCTACACTCATACACATTCACGCAATCGTTTTGTAGCAGGCAGAATTCTCATGTTTCATAACACAGCTTCTCTTCTAAATAGAGGTCAATCCTCTGTTTAGAATACGGGTCTGAAGACTGCACCCAAGTATGTACTATTTCACCATTCACATCTATGTGTAACAGTAATTGACCACTTTAGCTTACATGAGATTCTCGTAAAATTGTTTCAGAACATTTTAATGATATCATGTAAGTTGTGGTTAAAAAGAAAAGAGATATTAGAATTCAAAGAATTCATAAAAATTTTAGCAGAGAAAGACTCTATTTAAAATTCATAAAAACCTAATGATGATACAAAATAATTAATTTATTTATACTGTTTTAAAACTCATCAATTTAGTCCTGACCTGCCAAAATGATTTCTTAACCTTTTTTCACTTTACAAAAAAAGTGTTCAAAATGCATTTTTAAAACTGCCACAAATTTGTATGCCAGGTATTTACATAACCCCACTGATGAATCACAAGGAATCCAAAGAAAAGCCTACAGAGAGGCATTCTCATACTCACTTCTGAAACACTGTTAAAAAAGCAGCATTGCCATACAGTAGTGCTAGCTCTGTTATATAGAAAATGCAGTTCACCCCTCTAGAGCTGGTCCTTCGGGGGCTGTCACACAATAGAATTCAAGTATGTTCCACGTGAACAGATTTGACTGAATGTGGTGGATTTTGTTTTTAACTAGCATTGTTTTTATCTGTCCCCAGCTTTGCAAAGTGACATGTCATCTGCTCATATCAAACACTTCTAAATCAAACCCCCAGGCACCATCACTACAGGACTTTGAGGTTTAGTTATAAACTTGGCATCTAAAATCATATGTAAACTTACCATACATGTTAACTGGCAGCCTGTTTTCCCAGGTGAAGGCTTAGCATCTGCTAAGCAACTGAAAAATAAAGTCACTGGAAATGAAAAGCAAAAAAAAAAAAACCAAACAAACCCAAACCCAGGAATGTATTTTTGATTCTTGTTGGATTCTTTTCAACAAGTTTTCAGGAAAAGAGTGGAATATTTCACTAAAATGGAATAATGAAGTCTGGTATTTACAGTTTCTTATATGTTAATTTAATAGTTACAAAAGCAAAGACAATGTCCTCTGCCAAAAAAATGCATATATTTACTACTGTGAGGGCTATTACTCACTGACCCTGTGGCTTATGAAAGGGATTGCTGCAAATGTTGATACACTCATCTGTATGGGAATGAAGGGTAGATAAAAGCAATTGGAGGTAGCAGATCCTGTTATCTAACAAGGTCCATCCATTATTAAAGACTGCAGTAATTCCAGATAAAAGCAGCTGATACCATTCAGTGTTGAAGCCATATAGTTCCATTTTAAAGCTGTCAGAAGAATACAGCATTTTGTCTTTCATCAGTTATAGTAAATGTTGCTTAAGTGAAGCTCAACTCAGTATCAGAATTTAATATTAAGAAAAAAAATTTAATATTCAGAAAAAAATCAGAAGACCACATTTAAAGTTAGTTGTCTCTTCCAGATGTTTAAAATTACTTCCAAATCCCAGTATTTCTTCTCCTTACAGTAAAAAATGCCTACACATCCCTTCAGGTTTAAAAATCTGATGCCACGTGGCGCATTTCGCCTACTGACTTCAGTCTCCCCCTGTATAAATACTCCCTACCAGAAACCTTGAAACTCTGCCTCTGGGGTTAGGCACTAACTTCAGCCTAGCAAACGGTCCCTGAAGTGGAACATAATGTGAACTGCAAGTCGAGAACCCTTATTTTAATAACGAAGAGAAAAGTCGGGTTTTGCCAGGAGGTGGTGCTTTTGTACAAAACATCCTGCAGATGCAAGTGGTCTCATTTCTCCTGTAGAGATGAAGAGCATTCAATCTCAGCATTCACTCTCCTCCCCGCCTGTTTCAGCTTCCCTCTGCCATAACCTGCCCACAAAAACGCACACAGAGAAAATGAACTGACCATGGTTATACAGCTTGCCTGTGGAAAAGTTTTAGCATAGCGGTTTCAATCTTGGTGCTCGGAGCATCCTCTGAGCTGGGCCCCCTCCCACTGTACAGTCCTCTCGCACCTTCCGCTACCCCTCTGCTTCTCTTTGGTTGTTTATTCAAAAGCAGTCTGGACTGAGTTACGAATTCATAGATTTAAACCATAAAATCACACCTAAATCCTTGCCTGCCTGTGGCATTTTGTTAATGTCAATCCTAGGACCAACCATTTCAACTCTATTCTGAAAGGAATAAAATGTACCTGGCCCAAATTTTGGTTTCTGTTTTGCATCTGAAGTTGCATGTCAAAACGAGCAGCGATAAAAATAGTTGGTTTCGCTGAAACTGATTGGATTGATCGCAGCAGAAAGCCCGTGCCTCCCCTGTCTCAGCCGGTGCCTACACACACACAAGCATTAGCGATAAAGAAACCTGCGGGTGGTCCCAGCAGTGCAAAGGCTCGCCTTCCGAAATTCGTTGTGACTCTTGAGTCAAAAAAAAAGGAGAGAGAGAGAGAGGTTGAAAGCAAGACCTCCCTTCAAAGCGAGGGCACGTCCCGCTCAGGCCAACCGCCGGTGCTGTGATTCTTTCATCGCTTTGAATTGGTGAATTCTGGCCAGAGGACAGTCCTCGCCCCCTCCCCACGCGCTGGTCCTGCGCGAGCCTTTACACTGGTGTGTTGTGTGAGTGTTTGTGCATATCTGGGGGCTCCATGCCTCCTCCGTCTGTAACTGGGTTTCCTTTCCTCCTACAGAGCTTGCACTAGCACTCATTTATCTCAGAGTACAAATCTCTCCCTGCCTTCTACTCAAAGCCTCAACATCAAGTCAGAACCTGTTTCTCCTCCTAGAGACCGTACCGCCACACCCTCGAGATACCCACAGCACACGCGCCACGAGGCGGGGAGATCTCCCGTTGACAGTTTGAGCAGCTGTAGCAGTTCCTACGATGGAAGTGACCGAGAAGACCACCGGAACGAATTCCACTCCCCCATTGGACTCACCAGACCTTCGCCGGACGAAAGGGAAAGCCCCTCTGTCAAGCGCATGCGGCTCTCTGAAGGATGGGCGACATGATAACATTATTACCTACTAGGTTTTTTTTTTTCTTGCAGTGTGTGTGTGCTATACCTTAATGGGGGAGGGGGGGTCGATATGCATTATATGTGCCGTGTGTGGAAAAAAAAAAAAAAGTCAGGTACTCTGTTTTGTAAAAGTACTTTTAAATTGCCTCAGTGATACAGTATAAGGATAAACAGAAATGCTGAGATAAGCTTAGCACTTGAGTTGTACAACGGAACACTTGTACAAAATAGATTTTAAGGCTAACTTCTTTTCACTGTTGTGCTCCCTTGCAAAATGTATGTTACAATAGATAGTGTCATGTTGCAGGTTCAACGTTATTTACATGTAAATAGACAAAAGGAAAACATTTGCCAGAAGTGGCAGATCTTTACTGAGAGAGAAAGCAGCTGTTATGCAACATATAGAAAATGTACAGATGTTTTGACAGACCCAGGGGTTGGGTGGCCATGAATTGATGCTGGAAAGAGACTGGGTCACCTAACATGCTGAAAATGCTCACAAAAATGCAGGCATATCATTAGAGTATGGCACTCTTTTAAAAAGGATCAAAACATTTAAAGAGGACCATACTTGTAAAACTGTTGAGTTCGAGGGCTAACATATTTAATTTTTAAAATTCTGGGTCTGCATCACTTATGAAATAAAAAAAAATATTAAAAATATGTACATTACATTTTGCTTATTTTCATATTAAAAAGTAAGACAGAGTTTGCAAAGCATTTGTGGCTTTTGTAGTTTCCTTAAGCCAAAATGTGTTCTTTTTTCCTTGATAGCTTCGCTGATCTTTTAAACAGTCCTGAAGAAACAAACAAAAAGGACTTTTTGTATAGAAAGCACTACCCTAAGCCATGAAGAACTCCATGCTTTGCTAACCAAGATAACTGTTTTCTCTTTGCAGAAGTTTTGTTTTTGAAATGTGTATTTCTAATTATATAAAATATTAAGAATCTTTTAAAAAAATCTGTGAAATTAACATGCTTGTGTATAGCTTTCTAATATATATAATAATTATGGTAATAGCAAAAGGTTTTGTTATCTTAATAGTGGGGAATTATATTTGTGCAGTTGCACATTTAAATATTTTCTTTCGGTTTTCTTTTATTGGGTATACGTTTTACAGATCAAAGTCACCTGTTGAAAGACTGGTCTGTAAAAAGTTAGAATTTACCCATGGTGTAACAACTGAAATCATTTTAATACAGCATTTTACAATCAGTTGGGTGAACTGCGATCCATTGTATATACTGATTAGTTCTTTCATGCTGTTTTGTGCATTGTAACAAGTTAAGGGCCCTTCTATTACTTAACGTCCTGCGTATCTTTAGTTTTCCATGGGTTAAATGACGAAGAGGCGTAACTTGGCCCTTTCTCATTAACGAAGCTGGTATTCTGCCTGTCAGAATTGGACGTACAGCTCTAACGGCTGTCAGTTACGTGAGTGCGGGTGAATTTTTGCAGAAGCAGTAGGGAGAGTTAAAGGGAGGGATCAGCAAGAACATGCCTACTCTAAAGGTTACTCCCCTCTCTCACAGATTTAAAACTCTCAGAGAGATCACCAATTAACGGACCATCCAAAAGTCGAATGATCTTACGGCGCCGATATTGGCCGTCAGGTCCCTAGTTGTCATGGACCTCTGCGGTCACACAGCGGGCATGGTGTTGAGCAACGCTCCCTGTGTATTTGCACCCCAGCAAGATTTGCTTCGGCATGTGGCATCCACATTTTCTCCTGCCTCATATTGTTCCTTTGACTGAAATAGCTTGACCAGAGGGAATGTGTCGCTGCTTTAGCTCCCTCTTCGTCCCTCTTGTCTATTAGAAGAAAATGATATGTTCAAATGTTTCAGTTTAACCTTTCTGTTGAAGAGAAGTGTTTAAGCAAAATGTTAGTGCCATAGTAAAACTTCGATATTTCTCCTTTTTCAAAGAGTCCTTCCAACTCTCACCTACCTACTTTGACACTATGATGAAGCATACAGCTGCAACAGCTAAATATCAACACAGAACATTTTGTTAAGGGAAATCCACACTCTGTTTCCCACCTATACTGCAGTTGCTGTGCACTGCTCAGTGACAGAGTGTACCTCTCTGTAGTAGAGAATGACGAACAGATGACGGTGTGCATCAGGACATATGCTTTTCACTTATCATGACTTTATAGAAGCCTGCCTTACAGGCACTCTCAGCCGTGCAGGGGCTAGTGCATGATCTGGAAACTCTTTAAGCAGAATACTGTGCTACTGATGCATCCATCTTATCTTGCGTAGCAATCTGCAGGGTAAAGAAAAAGATACGCATGTAAAAAAAAACAAAAAAAACCCAAACAAACAAAAAAACCCACAAAAAAATCCAAAAAACCCAAAACAAAACAAAAAAAAAGGTAAAATGGGGCCCATAATTAATTTTAAAAAACTGTTTTTGAAACCACTTTCTTCACCTTCAGATGAACCTATACTCATATTCTCTTCCGAGAATTTTAAACTTTGGTGTGTCAAAAATATGCAAATATATCACAAATGTACCTTGTCATTTCAGAAAAAAACATACAACTTTATCAGTATTGTAGTAGAAACTTGTCAGTGGGGAAGGGGATTTGGTCTATTGATATATGAAGAATAGCCATATTAATAGTTTACCTTGCGATTTGCCTCAGCAACGCATGAAAAAGGAAAGATATCGTATTTAACGAAGATGCAGTGTAATATATTACTGCAAGTAACTAAGCAGAAAGTAGCGTGAAAAGTATTGCCTGGGCAATTTATATTAACTCTGACAGTGATTTTTTTGTATAAACACAAGTAGAACAGAATCACGTGAAAATAAATGCCAGTCGTCCCTCTTGTTCCTGCTGTGGAGGGCAACTAGCTTATACTGGCAAAATTGTGGGGGATAATGCATATTTGCAAACTGATCTAATGATAAGAAGCACAACTTTGATTGTGAAGTCACTTTCTGTAAACTATAACTGTCTACCTTTCTTGTTCCTTTATCTGTACCTTACCATTTATTGTATTTGCAAAGCTAATTTGAGTTTATTGTGTGATTCCTTTGTATTTAAGGAGTTTGGGGCAGAGCCCTGAAAGAGTATTAACATTTACTTTACCTTAACCCATGCTATATAATGTTTTAGGCAACATTCTTAATTGTAAGTTCAAACACCTGAAGTGGCATTCTAGACATCTGCAAGTATTGTTATAGCTAAGCTAACCTAACCTCTATTAAAAGGTGTTGTCAGTTAGTGTTTAATTGCTGGTGACAATTATATGATATACCCTACCTGCACAACCTGTATATTGTATGCATTGAGCCATTCGCAGTAAAGCTTTTGTCATTTCAGTGTTTTTCAAAAGTTGTGTTTTATAACAAAATGGCTTATATTTTTCCCAGAAGAGGAATTTAGCAGTTTTTAATGAATAATATAAAAATATCTGTTGTCCTCAGATCTTTTTCAGGTAAAGCTAGCATAAGAATAAAAGAACTCATAGACTGTTTTCAAGGATGTCAACCCTTTTGTATTGTATGTGTTATCCTATATACCCCCTTTTATCTATAGTCCTAACAGAGCTGTTTTGTTTTCCTTCTTCCTTCGCCTTGAAGGTAAATGCTTTGTAATTTTTTTAAAGCCACTTGAAACCTCAATAAAGGCTGTTGCCTAAACATGGCATACTTCATCTGTTCCTGTTTGTGCCATCTGCTGTGATGTCGTCAGTTATATGGCATTAATTTCCTGCCACTACAGGTCTCTTGAAGGACTGATGGAACATTGGTGTCTGTTAGAATGCTTCAGACTGTAGATGTAACAAAAGGCTTTTGTTAATATATTTTAACCAAAGATGTGGAGCAATCCAAGCTTTGAGCCACAGACCTTCTGCATCAAAAGTATCCGTTCGATTATTTTCATAATCAGGTGTTGCGTTTCTACCTTCCCTGCTCATACCTCAGACTGATCCATACCTCAGTTTGATTCAAAACAGGTCAGTTAAGTAACTTATTAAAAGATAAAAAAATGCAGTACCAGAGTCTTTTGTGAAGTAACTAATACCAGACCTGGGTTACCACAGGCATTACACTTGGATTGCTTCAGATGGTTTGTTGTATCCTTTTTTTCTTTTTTTCTTCTCTTTCATGGGGATTTGCTTCCATAAAACAATGGTGATAACAAAATAGCTTGTAAATGGGAGCATACAAGCATTTGCAACAAATATTAAAGTAGAGGCTCACAGCGGCATAAGCTGGACTTTGTCGCCACTAGATGACAAGATGTTATAACTAAGTTAAACCACATCTGTGTATCTCAAGGGACTTAATTCAGCTGTCTGTAGTGAACAAAAATGGGAAAATTTCAAAAGATTCTCCTGCTGGAAATAAGGTATAATTTGTACTTTGCAGACAAATCAGTAAAGTTACTGGCTTTCTTAGTGACACGGTGTCTGTGGTGCATTTTTTTATTATTTTTAATCATACTCCGTTTTTCACTGTTTTGCACTGTAACACGTGAAAGAAACAGGAATTTTTTAACAACCGGCAGTTGCCCCGAGGTCCCTCTGCCTGTCACTTATGCTTGCTTAGAAAGTTTAGCACCTTTTTGTGGCACCCTGAGTATATGGGTGTGCCTCACGGATGTTAGTGGCCCACCGCACACCATCCCACCAGGTTAGGGTAACTCCACTGCTGCTCTGGAAGTTAGGGTCATTTTGGATGAGGCCATCTGAATCCAGCCCCGATGTCTGAGCTGGCAGAGGAGCTCAGTGAGATAATGCCTGGCTTTTAGGTATTTAATCCCTGACAGAGAATCTAGACTTCCATAAATGCATGTCCTATAAATTCTACCCCTGAAGAGAGCACCCTACCAAAAAAAAAAAAGAAAAAGCATTTTCTGTGTCAAATCCATATATCATATCAAATCATAAATCCCATGTCATTTTTATATATTCTTTAACATGGTAACTTCACAAGGACTGTGTCAGAATTAATCTGTTCCCTTATGTGTACTTTCTGTTGTTGTTTTATTTTTTCTCCTCTAACATTTATAATTTTGGAGTCTAAGAATACAAGGATCACTGTATTTCAACAAGATGTTTTTTCATGCCAGAGGCAGACAAGCTATTAATAGTTTGAGGTGCTTGGTGAATGTGGGAATTTCAAAAATAGTATTACAAGGCCTAGTTTCTAACTGTGTTTATGAAAGAAAACAGCTGCACTGTTATTTACCTCTCATGTTTAATGACAATTTTTTTTTAAGAGAAGTGTTCCTAGTGTTGAAGTGTTGGACACAGCATAGTAATTAGATCCTAAAACGGAGATTAAATGTCATTGGGTTTATTACATAATACATTTTTCTCAAGTAAATCACTTTTTGCCATTGTTGGCAAGGATAAGCAAAATATTTCTGGAAATGCGGTCAAAGTGTAATACCGCCTAAAATCTTAGAGAATTCCTATCTGGGAGTCCTTGCTCCTGCAATCCATTGTCTGCGTGAATACTGTTAATGCTACATCTGCATTGGAAAAGGAATTACCTAGCAAATAGAGTCTGGTATACACCCTGTTTTGTTATTTATTACTCCAGAAAAATAACCATACACCTACTGATTACTTTGCTTTAGATTCTATGGACTATATATATATAACAATTTTAAAAACTGTGTGTTGCAATAAAAGTGGGGGTGTGACCAGTTCTTTAAATAAGCTTTCTCACTTGAGGCCCACACATGTCATTCTGAAGAGCGATTATAAGTGTATGACTGAGATAATCAAGACGCATACTGTCTCCATCCAAAGTGGTTCCTTTCCCTCCAAAGCTTTTTCTTCTTTTCTTTTGCAAAAATTGACGTAGCATCTTTTCAGCACTGGAAACGATGCTGAGACAGCTGCTGCGTATGTCTCACAAGAGAGAGCACAGGCTGCTTGCTCTCAGTGTGACCCATTAATACCTTCCTCAGACACAATGCCTACGTATCCACAGGTGATGGGGGGTGAGAGGGTCCAAGGAGCAGCAAAGAGGAATCATTTTAAAGCAATCAGATCATTTGGTCTGTAAAGAGAAGAAAGACATTGTTCGTGCCCCTAACTTGGCCTGTTCCTCGTCAATGCAGTGGAAATGCAGCGATGCCGACTGATGCAGCAAGTCTTACCTGCTCCATGAATGTTCCTGCCTACACATATAAATGGAACTCTAGTTTTCTGGAGTCCCTAATTCTGGGAAGCT